GGAAAAGGTGGATATATTTAAAGTTATTGGGAAGCTCAAACCGAAGTCCTACTTTCTCCATTTCCTACATATTGGTTTGAATTAGATCCATAATAAGGTGTCTAAGAGCTTAAGACACTAGTTTAGAAAATTCAGCACTAATCACAAAATTAATGAATATCCATTATGTACACGACCATACAACATCAAGTGCTTATTTTGCCAAGAAACATCACACAGAAGTCAGATGACTTCTTTGCTATAAAAACAAAAGGTTGTTATTTAAATGATTTAATGACAGAAACTGAAATACTGAGAAAGGGTTTTAAAAAAGGAGTAAACTTTACTGTCATGAGATAGTTAGCATAAGTGGAATTGGGGGAATGTTTACTTATAAAAATCTGCCCTATAGCCAAATAGCCTTAAAACTGAATCCCCTTTCAAAGGACTTTTCCATAAAAGTTACAATGAGGAGCAAACAAATTTCAATTTGGAATAACGCAGAAAGATTATTCAGTATTAGGTCAATAACTACAACCTTTTAAAAAAGACATACATGTCTGTATAAATTTTAGGGTATCTACTTCTAGGGTACATGTCTACTTTCATCAGCTTATTCAAACAAAATTTTGACTCGGTTAAAGTGGTGACTTCACCATTTTCTTTCATTTGCCAAGTTTTACCAGTGGATGTTACAGACACCTAAAAATTACATAATTATCGAAATCTTATTTGTCTGAGTCAGAGAAATACAAAAAAAAAAAAAAAAAAAAAAAAGGAACTATCTGGAACTATCTTAGTTATCTATATATATTACCTTCAACAAATTATGACATTACTAAATTCCTCCCACCCCAGTACTCAAGCAGATAAGAGCCTGTATTTCCAGCACACTTTTTTCAATTATCACCATTAGAATTACGACAAGCAACTTAGAAAGATTTCAGCATACTGGGGGATGGTAGGTAATAGAGAAAACAGATCTCCAATTAAGGACTCTTACATGTTGATTACTGAGGTTATAAAATAGTTGAATGGAATATTTTGTCATGGAAGCAACAAAATTCTTTAAATATTAAAATCCTTTTACAGTGAAAAACATGTTATTTAACAAGTCAAAATTTGTAATTCACTTAATGCATATTTTTTCTTTATGCTTCCAAGAATGAAAACCATATACAAACAATTCCAGGTTTGCTAAATGCTACACTGTTCATTGTTACTGCTCAGAGTAAACTGCTATCTGGATAGAATGGTGGCTCAAACACAAGAAACAAAAGTAATTCAGGTTTGTTTTTGGCCTCTCTTCCATTTCTCTAATTATTCCCTACAACACACACACACACACACAACTTTTCTCACCAAATAAAAGCAAATTTTAGTTGGAAACAAATGTGCATACTTTTCACATGTCCATAAAACATTGTTCAGTGAGGCTGAAAATGAACCTCAAAATAATCACTCCAAAACCATAGTTTATTATACTTTACCACATGATCAGGTATCAAATTTCAGTTTGGATACCTGAAATTAGCAATCCATCCATGCTGAAAGGTCTGTAACACCCAAATTCTCGTTGTATCAACTGTATGGTCTATATCCCCACATACACAAAGCACGCACAAAGACACCACCTTCCCACCTTAACAGGGCTCTACATTAACATTTGCTCTAATGTGGTGAGGCTTGAAAATATTTAAAATTAAGCATTTCCAGATGACCTTTTAGCCTTAACATTCAATGCATAAGTTAGTGAATAAGAATGCAGACTTTGGCCAGGCGCAGTGGCTCACGCCTGTAATCCCAGCACTTTAGGAGGCTGAGGCAGGCGGATCACAAAGTTAGGAGATCGAGACCATCCTGGCTAACATGGTGAAACCCTGTCTCTACTAAAAATACAAAAAATTAGCTGGGCGTGGTGGCACATGCCTGTAGTCCCAGCTACTCGGGAGGCTGAGACAGGAGAATCGCTTGAACCCAGGCCAAGATTGCGCCACTGCAATCCAGCCTGGGTGACAGAGCGAGACTCTGTCTCAAAAAAAAAAAAAAAAAAAAAAAAACAGATTTTGGCCAGGTGTGGTGGCTCACACCTATTGTTCTCTCAGCACGTGGGGAGGCTGAGGACGGGTGGATCACCTGAGGTCAGGAGTTTGAGACCAGCCTGGCCAACATGGCAAAACCCCGTCCCTACTAAAACATATTTAAAAAATAGCCAGATATGGTGGCAGGAGCCTATAATCCCAGCTACTCAGGAGGCTGAAGCAGGAGAATCACTTGAACCTGGGAGGTAGAGGCTGCAGTGAGCCGAGATCGCACCACTGCACTCCATCCTGGGCGGTAAGAGTGAAACTCCGTCTTAAAAAAAAAAAAAAAAATGCAGATTTCAGTATCCAGTGGCATTTCCAACGATTAAACTTATCCTTGAGGTTAAATTTAATAGTTTATGGAGAAAATAAAACCAGTAAGATTTCCCTAAAAGTGAAAGTAGAAAATTTGAATAAAACATTTCATGTCTCCAAATCAAAAACATCCAATTTTGTGAATTTACTAAAGTTCAATATAGTAACACAAGCTTTACTGAAGCTGTTAATTATGTAACACAAAGCAAATTACATAAAAATGCATATGAAATACTTAGGTTTATTAACACCACAGTCAAACGTGAATATTAATATAGAGCCTTCTCTGCCAAAAGAGTATAAAAATCCTAAGTTTAATTAAATTTAGGGGCCTTCACCAAACTTGCTGCAAGTTTGGGGACATAAATATCCAACAGCCATAAAGCTGTGAAAGCCCCTATAAGGAATAAAATAAATCCCACTTGCCTCAGACTGAACAGGGCAACACTGAGACTCAGCCTCAGCCTGTCCTATGGCAGGGCTATAGGAAGAAGAAAATTTTAATTTTAGAAAAACAGTTCCCAATTAATTTAAAAGACATGCATTAAATTTAAAAAAAAAAAAAAAATCCCAATGATCAAGCAAGCAAAAGGAGCAGCTTTGTTTTTAAAACTACTGTCCACTACAATTCCATTCTGAGCCCGTACTTCTTTTTGTTGGGGAATCCCCCTCCCCAATTAAGTTTCATTAAGGTGAGTCTAAGTTCAAAATGTAACTTAGTGGAATAGGAGTACAGTAGGAATATTTTAATCATACCTAATGGCAAATGTGTGAGAGACTACTAAAATACTAAGTATTTAAATCAAATAATTCCAGCAGCCACTCAAAAATTAATCCTCACCTGCTGTGGCCTTGTTACTGTTACACAGTATAAAAACTTATACAACAGAAACTAGTGCCAGACAAAATGTTTGTTTTTCTAAAAGGGGTGGATGTAAGGTAGAGCCAAAGCTGCCAGCCCTACTAACCTTACAGCTTCCTTAATTATGGCAATCAGCTTGAATTATCAAGTCCCAAAACCTGTCTTCTGTGAGGGCAGTTCACATCCACTTTGACTCAACTTCATCTATTACTTAAGGAAATTTGAGTCAGAGTCAATTATATGAATGTAATTTGCTCTACTCATGATTCAACCACGCTATGGACCCCAGAAGCATTTAGATAAAAGGTATTTTCTAGAAGCTTAATTATGCCTGGATGCATGCAAAAATTACCCTTCAAATATATTAAATGGGTACACCACCTCTGAGCCTATAGCTACAAACTCAGGAACTCATGAGCTTAAGTTTTATGTGCCAATGCCTAACACTTTCAATTAATTTTTAATTAGAATTCTATCCCATATTAAAAATTTCCATTTTTGCCCATCAGACATATACAGAGAGCAAAAAACTTTGCTATAAAGTATCAGCCTTCTTTGCATAAAATGCAAATAAAGTTTCACGTAATTTCTGAAACAGGTCTACTAAACCTATTGCAGTTTGTCAATAACCCTGTACATGAAATTCTTGAGAATTTGGGAGAGCATCCCTTACTTAATCATTGTAAATTTAATCTCACCATTTTTATCTTAAAGATTTTCAACACGAGTTTTTCTTCGGCAGTATATTAAGTGTGCTGCCAAATCAAAGCAGCATGTATTAATTTTGAAACCATTTAGGTAGGCAGAGGTTCAGAGGGGAAAGTGGTTTGAGACTTGGTGGCTGGCAGAAGGAAGAAATACATTCTTGGCAAAATATGGTAGTTTTACTTTCAAACTACGAAAATTTTTGTACCACTATGGTACCACAAGCACAGGAGCCATAAAATCATTGAAGCCAAATAATCAGGTATTTAAATTTATTTTTTGACAGTCTCGCTCTGTTGCCCAGGCTGGAGTGAACATAGCTCACCGCAGCCTTGACCTCCTGTGCTCAAGTGATCCTCCTCCCTCAGCCTCTGGAGCAGGTAGGACCACAGACACACACTAAAGCGCCTGGCTAATTTTTAAATGTTTTGTACAGGTGGGGTTTTCCCATGTTGGCCAGGCTGGTCTCAAACTCCTGGACTCAAGCAATCCTCCCACCTCAGCCTTCCAGAGGGCTGGGATTACAGGCGTGAGCCACTGCACCCAGCCAATAAGAGTTAAAATAGCATTCAGCTTTATAATACTTGCAATGTTTTGCTTAAAGGTATGACTTCTACCTGTCACATATATACAAACTCTTTTGTGATGGCTAAATCACTTTTCAATATATTTTCCTTCAAAGTTAAAGCCCTTTTTTCGTTACAACTTCAGAGTTCCTGTCTTTTATCTATACCTTCACAGTAAAGTTATAAAGAAATGTTACCATTTTCTTGGAAGTCTTAACTTTACAATGAGAAAAACTTGAGTTCATTATATTAATACTTTGCACAGGTTATTTGATGCCTAAAAAATCATAAAACTACCCTGCAAAAGTAAAGATCAGAAAAACAGATCCCAAAAAGGTCCACAAGAGCTATTAAGAGGTTGTAACACAAAATACTGAATAGCAGTCATCTCTACAGAAAAGCTCTCTGTAAGAACACAACATTCAAAATTTCCAAGGATAAAACGTTGCACAGTAAGGCTACCTAGGCTTAATAACAGAAGGTACTCAAATGAATAATGTAATCTTCCAGGAACATAATAAAATTAAAAATTGCCAACCCATCTGTTAACCATCCCAACAGAGACACATTTAGATTCTCAGCATTACACTTAGAATAATACATTACAACTCATTAACAGCACAAGAAGCTATTACTGCATGCACCTAAGCTTCTAGAAGTTTGTACCTGAAAAGCTTCTGAGGTCCATGCAGTACTGAAGTCTCAAAAATAATCAAAAGGAAATGAATGGGTCTGGCACTAGGCTCTAAACATCTCAGCAGGAAAAGTGTTAGCATTTACATTTTAAGTATCTATGACACGTGATGTGTACTGACACCAAAGAGGGTGGAAAGGTGATTATAAAGATTTCATACCCATTAGGTAATGACTCATGTATCTAAGTTTTTCTCTTAACTGAAACATTAACATACAACTCTATGTATATTCAGTTTAAAACATGCAGCTAAGAAATAACCTACAACTCAAAAGACAGAATCCAATGATATATCAAAACTGCATTGGTAACTATAAATTTTATTATGTGGACATCTACTGTGGCATGCATTTGTACAAACCTTTCAGGCAGTGGTCCACAGCTGGGTTATGAATAAAAAGGCATAAATTTTTCTCTCGTTTTATTACAATGAAGTTTAACAGTACAGAAAAGTCACATGACCTTGGTGGGTCAGATTTCTTAAACCCTGCAACATGAGGAACTCTAAATACATTAAATATTGTTACACATTCAGACTTCCAATGTACAAGTACTTGGAAACAGTTACAGCCCTCACCAAGCTAGGTTGGGGACATGAAGTCCAACAGCATCTGAAATGCTGTGAAGGCAAACTTTACAAATAGCAATGTAAGCTTACAGAACTTGCCTTTATTAAGGTGGTATGTTCATGTAATTCCAGCGCCTTCACAATTTAACGAACCAAATTTACTATACTTCACTTCTAAAAACCTAGATGAAACATGAAAAAGAAGCCATACAGTATAAATTGCAACTTCAGGAAAAGTTCCTGCTTTATTATTCCAAATAATTTTTCCCATGTAAAATAAATGTCCAATAGTTCCTGGTATGTGGGAAGATAATGTTTGTTAAAGTCACAATGAAGCCTTATTGACGGAAGCTTGGCTATATAAACAGCACAAGTTGAGAAAAGGTTTAATCTCCAAACCTATTAGACTGGATGAAGTAAGATCAGTAACGGCCACCTTGCGACATTACAGGAGGTCTCATTCCCATCGGAGGTCGAGGAGGCCCACCCTGGTAAGGGGGCACCATTGGCGGTCCCTGCCCATACGGGGGCATAGCACCAGGAAGGTATCCTGGCATGCCTTGATGATGACCACCATACTGACCTAAAAAACAAGAATTTCAAACACAAAAAATAGATTGTTACGTATTGTACTTTTAAATGCAATGTATACTGCAGATAAATTTAATATTTTATGCATGAACTTAGAAAATCCACTAAATATGATAAACATAAAAAGAGGAATACCATGAGGTGGCATTGGGGGTCTCATTCCTTGTTGCTGTGGGATGCCTGGCTGTGGTGGCATCATACCTCCAATTGGTCCAACTGGTGGATTACCGATGGGGGCCTGTCCTGGCCGAGGAAGATTACGTTGATATTTAGGTAACTGTGCCCTTCTCTCTTCCTGGGAATAAAAATAAGCACAAGGCTAAATACTCAAATGTAGAGGCTCATCAAGCATAAAGGCATGCATCTAAAATCTTACAACGTTAAGAGTAATTTTCAAAAATTTACCCTTACATCCCAACTGTTTACTTTTGCCAGACAAACCAATCCAACTACTTAAACTCTAGATACCTTAAAACTTCACCTATTTGTAAACTTGAAGCATGGCTAACAACTTTCCAGGAATTACAAATTGCTTCAACAAGAAACTAATTAAGTATTGTTAACATTTTTTTTTTTTTTTTTTTTTTTGAGATAGAGTTTTGCTCGTTGCCCAGGCTTGAGTGCAATGGCCAGGTCTCGGCTCACTGCAACCTCCGCCTCCCGGGTTCAAGTGATTCTGCTGCCTCAGCCTCCCGAGTAGCTGGGATTACAGGCATGCGCCACAATGCCCAGCTAATTTTGTATTTTTAGTAGAGATGGTGTTTCTACATGTTGGTCAGGCTGGTCTCGAACTCCCGACCCTCAGGTGATCCACCAGCCTCAGCCTCCCAAAGTGCTGGGATTATAGGTGTGAGCCACTGCGCCGGGCCAACATTCTATTTTCATTTTTCAAGATGGAGTCTTGTTCTGTTGCCCAGGCTAGAGTGCAGTGGGTAATCTTGGCTCAATGCAACCTATGCCTCCCAGGTTCAACTGATTATCCTGCCTCAGCCTCCTCAGTAGCTGGGATTACAGGTACCCGCCACCACACCCGGGTAATTTTTGTATTGATGGGGTTTCACCATGTTGGCCAGGCTAGTCTTAAACTAATGATGTGTCATTTGTCTGTCTTGTGATCCGCCTGTCTTGGCCTCCCAAAGTGCTGGAATTATAGGCGTGAGCCACCATGCCCAGCCGTTATCAACATTCTAAACATTAACTTTATATCAAAATTAATTCCTTTATACGGGACTTAAGGGATCTGCAGATTCTACTTCACACTTAATGTTTCTTCAATTAACATGTGCAAACTTATGTTTAACTAAAATGATTTTTAAGAGAGTTAAGAACCTGACTTGCTGTCTTCTTTTAGAAACAGTCTGGAGGAAGGGGATAGAAAGCACCTAAGACCAAAACATGCAATATCCATTCACTTTAAGTATTTTATGATTTCTTAAGATTCAGAATGGCAAAAACCACTTAGTTAGCATTAAACCAGATCACAGACCACCTGAGTACAAATTAACACTTTTTAAAGGGACAAACTGCTATAATGGCTTTAAATTAAATGCTGCTAGTAGAAAACTAAAAACAACTTACCAGGGATATATCCTCATCTGGATGGATCAACTTACTGGTTGCACTAGTTGTTGTGAGTGTAGCAGGCTTACTTGTTATTGAAGCTGCTGGTTTAGCTGCAGTACTATTTGTTGTACTAGTGGTTGAAGCTGTAGACTGTGTATAAGCAGGGAATGTAGGCTTTGGGGGTTCTGTAGTTGTTGCAGGGGTACTATTTAAGGGTTTGAAATCTGTACCAACAGGTCCTTGGACAGCTGCCTGAGCCTGTAAAATACAATACTTCGTCAACAAAACCTCAAAACCCAAAATTAACTATATCTACAACAGTTTAACTTAAAACAAGACATCAACATCAAAGCACCAAACTTTAAATGAAATTAAAACAAAGTTAACATGTGATAAACACTCCACAAAATTCAAGATAACCCATACAAACATCAAAAGATGCTGGGTTAAAGTCACACCCACAACTCAGCAATGGAAATAAGACTATATTTAACTTGTTAGATGTCTTCTACCTCTTCACCAAAAATTAAATTTACAATGCTCTGTATTTATTCCAGATTGCTGAAATACAGTATAATAGAATAGCATGTGTTCTATTTTTACTGTTCTATTAATAAGTTTAGTTATTAATCTATCAAACAGCTAAAAAACCAAAAAACTACAGAATGAGAGTTTAAATTCCAGTTACTAAGTATAACATGAACGAGTGTAAATGGTGACATATTAAAGATACATCCTTTAGTAGTATTCTTTATATATATAATCCCCTCCAAATTAACAATGGCTGGATAATTATCAAGGACAAAAGGGTTAATTTAGCAGGATCTTTTAAAGTAACAAGTTACCAAACAAATGTGTTACTTTTCATAATACCACACATCTAAAACATGTAGACTAGGCCAACTTTAGAACCAAAGCAATGTATTAAATTTTCTTACATTAAATGTGATGCATTAAACAGCACAAATCAAAATAGCTTAATCATGCATCAGGCTAACCATTGGCCACTATAATGCATTTACTGCTTACATGCTTTTAACCCTTTAGAACCACAAGAGTTCGGGGTAGTTTTTTTAGCATGAATTAAAATTTTTAAATACCATTTGACTTATACGGCATTAATTTTGCTTTAAAAAAGTAAACAGTATATTTTTGGAAAAATATTCATTTTTTAAGTAGGGTCCAAAGGGTTAAGTTATAAAGCCATTTTAACAATTTTAAACTGCAACTTCCTGCGTACTTGTGCTGTGCTAGGAAACAGAGCTTTAGAAGATGCAGACAGACTTTCTGAATTGGATGAAGCTGTACTTGAGCTTGTGACAGGTGTCCCCATCTGTAGCATAAAAGAAAGGAAACAATGAAAAGTCTCCAAACAAATGGGTCAAAATAAGCCATGTGGTAGACTTTCTAGTAGATTGCATATTTGTAAATGCAAAATTTAATGCAATCAAATGTCATTTACTTTAAAAGGCAGGCAGTTAATGCATTTACAATAAACAAGATTAAAGTATGAGCCTCAAAATTTTAATTCTATACCAATAAAACCTAGTTAACTAGCTTTTGTAAAACTACTGTGTTTTGCATTATTTCAAGAATGATACCTGAAACTGAGAATAATTATGTATAAATACTGACACTTCAATCCAATTCTGTATCAATGATTCTCTACAAAAAGATTTTTGCCAAATTTTACATCTCTCAATACATAAAATTCCCGTCCACCATAAAGCTAGGTTAATGTGCTTAATAAAAGGCACTTAAAGAAAATGCTTTTAATTTAGCACCCACAAACAGAAAAAAACAGTTAAAAAAAAATCTAAGGGATAATCTAAAAAAGAAAATGAATAAACATACATCCTGATCTAAATTCTGAATAAATTAAACCTGAATCTGCTTAATTCTCAATGAAACGAGGAAAAAAAGCAAAGGTGTTAACCATTATGTGCACACTACATAGAACAGAAGCATCTTTCACTTATGCTCCGGAAAAAAAGTTGTAAAAGCTTTGAAAAAAGACCAGTAAGAAATACAAGTGTGCCTAGGTCAAAAGCCATTAAATTATGCCATTTTAGCACAAGTGTGGCATTGTAGCTCATCACTGTTCCATACTAGAGGCAGAGCCTGACAAATAATTTGCTACCATCTTAGGAATGCTCATCTTTGACTTTGCTGTCCTTCCATTCACAGTTCAGCTAGCAAAGGAAAACTTCTAAACACTCCAGATATTAAACTTTCATTAGCTTAAAAAAAAAAAAAAAAAAAACTAAGAATAAATAGGGTTCACAACTATGAAAAAGTAACATACTAACTTTGGCTCCATTTAACCTTTTATGGGTAGAGGAAATCAGTGTGTAAACATGGAAGTGGATAAGCCACCTTTTAGTACATTTAATAAATAATATTAAAAATATTATAAACGAAAAAAAAACTGACCTACGAGAATTTCAAAGACTTCTGTAAACAACTGTACTTTATCTTTAAGCGCACTCCTTTACAGGATTTTCACCTTACCTGCCCAGCACTGGGGAAAAGAGGCTTAGTAACTGGAGGCTGCGGAGCAGGTACAGTTGCTGTTGGTGCAGGTGGTCTATTAAGAATACCTGGCGCTGAAACAGCCTGTGCTTGGGTCATTGGAGGAATTCCAGGACGTGGAACAGGTGGGGGCATACCTGCAGAGAAGAAATGTTTGGGGAAACTGAGTCACTGAAATATTTAGTGTAGGAAAAAACACTTCTATACTACAAAGTTATGAACAATTAACTGCTCAATGACTCGATTAAATCCAAGGAACTCAGGCATTTGCCCCATGCAATATTCTTACCTCAAATTTTCCCTTCCTTTGGACTGCTTCAGAATTTTACAAAGTGGAAGATAACACTAGACTCTGCTGCATGCACAAAACATCTGGCAATTATGCTTACTGATCCTAATGACTTAGCAAACTTCTTGCAATATATAAAATAATTATTTCAATCATCTACAAGACAGATATTTAAATGTTCCCTGAACTCTAGTGCAAATTACAATAAAAACTCTATGAATCAAATACCACGAACAATAAAAACTTTTCCAAAGTTAAACACATCACTACTACATTCTTTAAACTTCCTCAACATGACAAAACTTTTTTTTTTTTTTTGAGACAGAGTCTCGCTCTGTCGCCCAAGGCTGGAGTGCAGTGGCCGGATCTCAGCTCACTGCAAGCTCTGACTCCCAGGTTCACGCCATTCTCCTACCTCAGCCTCCCGTGTAGCTGGGACTACAGGCGCCCGCCATCTCGCCCGGCTAGTTTTTTGTGTTTTTTAGTAGAGACAGGGTTTCACCATGTTAGCCAGGATGGTCTCGATCTCCTGACCTCATGATCCGCCTGCCTCCCAAAGTGCTGGGATTACAGGCTTGAGCCACCGCGCCCGGCCATGACAAAACTTTTAATGACTTCATATTATCAAATGAACATCAATTATTATTCTGTATTCTTTTAAATACCTAAATATGTATCACAACATAACGTATATGGAGCCGCCAGGCAATTATTCGTATTTTGTTGATGCTTTATTTTTCCTGTGTCCCTTTACATCAATTATTTTCAGCACTCTAAATATGCTACGGATTGCAAACACACCAACATAAAAACCAGGCTAGGGCCGGGTGCGATGGGTCACGCCTATAATCCCAGCACTTTGGGAGGCTGACGCAGGTGGATCAAAAGGTCAGGAGTTCGAGACCAGCTTGACCAACACAGTGAAACCCCATCTCTATTAAAAATACAAAAATTTGCCGGGCGTGGTGGCACATGCCTGTAATCCCAGCTACTCAGGAGGCTGAGGCAGGAGAGAATCGCTTGAACCCAGGAGGCGGATGTTGTGGTGAGCTGAGATCACACCACTGCTCTCCAGCCTGGGTGACAGAGCAAGATTCCATCTAAAAAAAAAAAAGAAAAGAAAAGAAAAAAAGAAAGAAACAGCCTCGTGTGGTGTACCTCGCTGGCCAACTGAATCCCTCCTTGCTGGCCAACTGAATCCCTCCCTTTCCTTGTGCTGTATTTCCTGCTTCATAGGCCAAATTCTATATACTTAATTTCCCAGGTTCCCTCACAGCATAATATGTAAGGAGCTAAGGCGCTTCTGGGAAAGTTATTTTGCTTCCAAATAGAAGAAAAAGGGAGGTCAAGTGCTGCAGCTCACTCACACCTGTAATCTCAGCATTTTGGGAGGCTATCCGGCTGCAGTGAGCTATGATCGTGCCACGGCACATCAGCCCAGGTATCAGAACAACACCCTGTTTCAAAAAAAAAAAAAAAGGAGAAAAAGAAAATGGAGAGTGCACTACTACTGACACTGCTTCTTGTCTGAGCTGTCTTATAACCAAATGACATTTCTGAGGAAAACAAGCTAAGATTAGCAAAGTCAAAAAAGCATGGGTTAATAAGTATCACTGAGCCACTCAGTTTGTTGACTGAGACAATAAATGCCTACACCGTTTAATACAGTTTGTTGGAGCCGCGCGCAGTGGCTCACACCTGTAATCCCAACACTTTGGGAGGCCAAGGCAGGTGGATAACCTGAGGTCAGGAGTTTGAGACCAGCCTGGCCAACATGGCGAAACCCCGTCTCTACGAAAATACAAAAATGAGCCAGGTGTGGTAGTGGGTGCCTGTACTCCCAGCTACTCGGGAAGCTGAGGCAAGAGAATCACTGGAACCCTGGAAGCAGAGGTTGCAGTGAACCAAGAGCATGCTCCAGCCTGGGTGAGTGAGATTCCGTCTCAAAAAAAAAAAAAAAAGTTTGTTGGATTTCTTTATTACTTGTCTAAAATATTCCTAACAAATACAAGTGCTCTTAAGTACATGAGATTCAGCACATAGGCCATGACTCACTTTGGCTGCTTTGAAACCTATCATCTATTTCAAACTTCAAGAAAGGGCCATGGTCTTCAGGTATCCACTAAAATACATTTTTGTAAATAGGGCCCATATAACACTTCTCACAGGAACTTGCAACTTACGAAAATTTTTAAATTTCATTATACCAATGCCCACAGATGTCTAAAAAAACTTAGAATTAAAGCCTGTACATCATATTAAAAGGAAATTGTCTAACATATCATACCTGGTGGCATTCCAGGCATCAGAGGTGGTATTCCTGGTCCAGGTGGCATCATTCCACCCATTGGCATCATTCTATTAGAAAGCAAATTTCAAGAAACAGTAAGTTAATGAACAGCATAAACCATTAAAAAATATTCTGGCTAAAGCCTGAAACAACACTAGATAGACTTGAATCTGACCTCTAATATTGATATGAATCAAGCTGAAAGAACACACAACACACTGTAACAATCCTATCAAAATAAATTTTTTAAAACCCAGCAAACTCTTTGGTTTACCAATAAAAGAAAAAAAAAATGTTGACAAAACATTTAAAGTCATTGAGAACAAATATACTCTCAATATATATGAGACCTCATCTAAAATACGTGTAATGGAAAGCAAAATTACCACTTTTTCCACTTGTAAAATATCCACACAGAGTATTAAATAAAAAGAAGAAATCTCTATTTTAGAGTTGTGTCAGATTTTGAAAAGGAAAAGATTGAATGAATGTACCCTTTGAAATGAGATTTTTTTATTTGGCTAGGTGCAGCAGCTCACGCCTGCAATCCCAGAACTTTTGAGAGGCCAACGCTCAAGGACTGCTTGAACCTAGGCTGGACAAAAAGTGAGACCATATCTTTTTTAAAAAAGTATCTTTTTAAAAAAAATTTCAAACATTAGCTGGGTGCAGTACTGTGTGCCTGTAGTCCCAGATACTCAGGGGGCTGAGGTGGGAGGATCACCTGAGCCCAGGAAGTCAAGGTTGCAGTAAGCTGTGACTGCACCACTGCACTGTAGCCTGGGCGACAGAGTAAGACACCCTGTCTCAAATACATACACACACACACACACACACACACACACACACACATTTTTAGAGGAAGGAAATGCTACCACCAAAATTAAAGACACTCAAAAGTAAAATCAGATGGCCTAATATTTACAATAACTACCTAACACTAAACCATGACTTAAAAACACAACCCATTCATTTTTTTCCCCTAAAAGAGCTCACCTTCAAATATCAGTGTCCAATTCACTTAAAAAACGACAAATTGGTCAATTTTCTTCAAAATTTTTAAATTTTTTGTGGGCAAATTCAATTCTTGATTTAAAATTTTTATCAGAAGATTAACTTCTATTGATAGATTAGAAAATTCCATTACATCCTATGATAATAAAGTACATTTCACAGAATATAGTCTTTCTTAAATACTAACCCTTATTATCAGGTCCCATTACTTTTAATAGTTTGGAGAAAAATCACTGCACGTTTGAAGTATGTTTATATGGGTCTATTACTATTTCCTAAAAGATGTTTTATTTTCCTTCTTTAAGAGACCTGTGTTAATTAGCTTTCAAGTTTTAGTGAGGAAGATTAGAAAATTTCTGAAGTCAACTGAATAGATACCATTAAACACACACATAAAAAAAATGACAGTATCATTATACCTCCTGAATTACATTATGAATGAGATGCTTACATGTTTTCACCGCAAAATGACTGGGTGTATTTTCTCTGATGATGCAATCTGTGAAAATGTATGACAAAATCAAAATCTAACTGTGATTTTCAAAATACAGTGGGAAAGTGTATTGTATACCTCTCACACCCAACAATATTTAAGTAAAAGTGATGGGCACAAGCACCTCATACTCATTTTAGTTTTGATGCTTTGACAAATAAATCATTTACAGAGTTTGTCTGCTTCTTGTCTATAAATAACCAACTACTTTAATCACAGTAAATGCAATTGAAGTAGATGGTTGCTTACATATACCCTAAAACCCAAAAATCTATTATTCAGAGGCAAATTTATACTCCTTAAATTTATTGGTTGATCCCTTTATTAGACAAGATTTATATAGCCCATACCTTCTTCTAAAGCAAAAAATGAAAACTAACATTTCATTCATATAACATCCAAATTGAAAAAGATTACTAGGCACAAGCCTACAAGATAAATAAAAAAATTTTCTTACCCAGGTGGCATGCCTGGCATAACTGGTGGCATTCCTGGCATCAGAGGAGGAACACCTGGCATTAATGGAGGTATGCCTACAAGCAAGAATTTCAATCAAAATAATAACAAATATTAAAGAGTCAGGGGGAAGAAAGTAATACTTCGATACAATATAAATAATGCCCTAAAAATGTAAGATTTTAAGCAATCCTATATGCTACCTGGAGGCATTCCTGGTGCTCCTGGTACTGGTGGCAGTCCTGGCTGTGCCATTGGGGGAATATAACCTTGTTGAGGTTGAACAGGCTGTGGCTGAAATGAAGTTGAGGCTGCAGAGTCATCATCATCATATTCATCAGAATCATCTTGTTGTTTCTTTTTTTGACTTTCTGTTACAAAAAAAATCTTAATTATTTCCATGGAGTAAAAACTAAGAAAGTTTACTTACAACATTCAATATTTAAAAATACTTATATTGGTAAAATTAGTTCATGAGATTTTTCTTCCCCCAAAATTCAATATTGCTCTATGTTCTTCAAATGTGTTTTCACCCTATATTAAACAAGGTTAACGTTCTTTCCCTGTCCCATAAAAGGTAAAATGATTATCCTAAATCAGTATTTTTTCTTTTAAATTTTTAGTAGGGTCTTGCTCTGTGACGCAGGCTGGAAAGCAATGGCACAACTGCAGCTCACTGCACTCTCAAACTCCTGGGCTGAAGTGATGCTCCCGCCTCAGTCTCCCAAGTAGCTGGGACTGCAGGCAAATGCCACAACCCCAGGCCTTTTAAAAAAATTATTATATTATTACTATTTTTGGTAAAGATGAGGTCTCGAACTTTTGGCCTCAATTGATCCTACTGCCTCAGCCACCTAAAGCACCGAAATTATAGGGGGTCCTTCATTTTCATATGCCTTAACACTTGTTAATTCTATTTGGAATTCAATTATGAACAATAATATAAGAAAATGGAATGATCCAAATGGTACTGCATATATACCAATCAAGTACATGTCTTCAAAAACAGAGCTCAAATTTAAAATTCCAAATAGATAGATGTACCATTCAATTTTATCTATCTTATCTATTAAGTGACTAATCAATTAATTTATCTAGATAGGATCTCACTCTGTTACCCCGGCTGCAGTGGAGAATTCACAGCGGAGAATTCACAGCTCACTGAAGCCTCAACCCCCAGGGCTCAAGACATACTCCCACCTCAGCTGAGACTACAGGCATGTGCCACCACGCCCAGCTAATTTTTATATTTTTTTGTAAAGACAGCGTGTCACTTTCTATTGCCCAGGTTGGTCTCCCAATTTCTAGGCTCAAGCAGTCTTCCTGCACCGCCTGCCCATAGTGCTGGGATGACAGGTGTGAGCCACTGCAACTAACCTACCATTACATTTATAATTGAAAATAGTAACTATGGGCTTCAGTGAGGCTGAAAAAAGAATATTATTACAAGGGAAGAGAGATGGTGGCTCACACCTGTAATCCCAGCACTTTGGGAGGCCTTGGCAGGTAGACTGCTTGAGGTCAGGAGTTTGAGACCAATCTGACCAACATGGTGAAACGCCGTTTCTACTAAAAAATATAAAAAAAAACTAGGCCAAGTGTGGTGACTCAGGTCTGTAATCCCAGCACTTTGGGAAGCTGAGGCGGGTGGATCACTTGAGGCCAAGAGTTTGAGAACAGCCTAGGCAACATGGTGAAACACTCTCTCTACTGAAAACACAGGAGGAAAAAAAAAAAAAAAAGCTGGGAATAGTGGTACACGCCTGAAATCCCAGCTGAGCAGCTGAGGCACGAGAATCACTTCAGCCTGTGAAGCTGAGGTTGCAGTGAACTGAAATCATGTCACTGTACTCCAGCCTGGCCAACAGCTAGACTCTGTCTCAAAATAAATAAATAAATTTAAAAAAAAAAAAAAATACAAGCCGGGCAAGGTGGCTCACGCCTGTAATCCCAGCACTTTGGGAGGCCGAGGCGGGTAGATCACTAGGTAAGGAGCAGATCACGAGGTCAGGAGTTCGAGACCAGCCTGACCAACATGGTGAAACCCCTCTCTACTAAAAATACAAAAATTAGCCAGGTGTGGTTGTGCGCACCTCTAATGCCAGCTACTCCAGAGGCTGGGGCAGGTGAATCGCTTGAACCTGGGAAGCGGAGGTTGTGGTGAGCCGAGATCATACCACTGCACTCCAGCCTGGGCAACAGAGACTCTGTCTCAAAAACAAAAGCAAACAAAAATCAGCTGGGTGTGGTGGCACAAACCTGTAATCCCAGCTACTCAGGTGGCTGAGGCACAATAATCACTTAAGGCTGGGCACGGTGGCTTGCGCCTGTAATCCCAGCACTTTGGGAGGCCAAAGCGGGCAGATCACCACTTAAGGTCTGGAGTTCAAGATCAGCCTGGCCAACATGGTAAAACCACAAAAATTAGCTACTAAAACCACAAAAATTAGCCAGGCGTGGTGGTGCATGCCTGTATTCCCCAGCTACTCAGGAGGCCGAGGCAAGATTATCACCTGAACCTGGGAGGCACAGGTTGCAGTGCAGTGAGCCGAGATCATGCCACTGCACTACAGCCTGGCAACAAAGCAAGACTCCACGTCAAAAAAAAAAAAAAAAAAAGAATCACTTAAACCCCGAAGGCAGAAGATGCAGAGAGCCGAGATCACACCACTGTACTCCAGCCTTGGCTGGACAGAGTAAGCCTCTGTTCTCAAAACAAAAAAAAAAACAAAAGAAAAGTTATCCCAATATTTACCTTGTGTTTTCTGCTCAAGAAGTCGTCGTCTTTCATCCATGTCTTTTTCTGGAATACCTTCCATACCGTATATTTCCAATTCTATGTCTGTTCTTCCAGGTATTGCATTTGGTACGGCATCTATTGTTTCTTTATGTACCTAACAACAACAATTTCCATTAGATAAAAGTCTTTTTTTAAGAATAATTATGAATTAATCAAAGACTACTTAGTATAATGTTAAAGAATAAATGTTCTATGGTGAGGCCATGTAGGGTCAATTCCCAGTTTTGCCATTCACTAGCTCTGTGACTGATATCAAGCATGTCGGTGGACCTCTAAGCCTGTTTACTTCATCTATATAGTAGCTAACTTGTAGAGTTGTTTTTAGGATTAAATACTATATATAAAAAATACTTGGCCAGACGTCTAACACACAGTAAACATTCAATAAACATTCTTTCAAGTTTATCATATAATCTTGATTACTTCAATTATTAGCAGTAACTAGTAGTCCTATCCAAATCAGGGATGTTTCACATGTGAATTAAGAAAAGATTAGGAAACACCCTCATATTAGAATTACAATATAGCCAGGTGAGGTGGCTCACACCTGTAATCCCAGCACTGGGGAGGCCGAGATAGGTGGTTCACCTGAGTCAGGAGTTTGAGGCCAGCCTGGTCAACATGGCAAAACCCTGTTCCTACCAAAAATACAAAAATTAGCTGGGCGTGGTGGGGGGTGCCTGTAATACCAGCCATTCAGGAGGCTGAAGAGGGAGAATCGCTTGAAGTGAGCTGAGATCGCAACACTGCAATCCAGTCTGCACGACAGAGGGAAGAGTCCCTCAAAAATAAAAATAAAAAAAAGCTAGGCGTGGCGGTGCACACCAGTAATCCCAACCACTGGACAGGCTGAGGCATGAGAATAACTTGAACACGGGAGGCAGAGGTTGCAGTGAGTGTTCCAGCCTGGGCTGAAACAGCGAGACTGTCTCCAAAAATAAAAATAAAAAAATAAAAAGCTGGGTGCGGTGGCTCACGCCTGCAATCCCAGCACTTTGGGAGGCCAAGGCAGGCGGATCACGAGGTCAGGAGTTTGAGACCAGCCTGACCAACATGGTGAAACCCTGTCTCTACTAAAAAATACAAAACTTAGCCTGGCATGGTGGCATGCACCTGTAATTCCAGCTACTCAGGAGGCTGAGGCAGGAGAATCGCTTGAACATGGGAGGCAGAGGTTGCAGTGAGCCGAGACTGCACCATGGCACCGTAGCCTGGGCAAGAGAGCGAGATTCTGTCTCAAAAATAATAATAATAATAATTACAATAGCAAATTTTCTAAGTACAGATCTTGAGACAAGCCTCTGGTTACAAACTAGAAAAGTTACATTTACAATCAGTATGACTTGCAACTAATGAGTTACGTGAGGCATTTTACTTTTTTTTTTAAGACAGGGTCTCACTCTGCCGCCCAGGCAGGAGTACAGTGGCATTATCTCAGCTCACTGCAACCTCTGCCTCTCAAGCTCAAGCCATCCTCCCACCTGAGCCTCCCAAGTAACTGGGACTACAGGTGTGTGCGCTGCCATGCCTGGCTAAGTGTTGTATTTTCTGTGGCGATGGGGTTTTGTTACATTCCTCACACTGGTCTCAAACTCCTGAACTCAACGGATGCACCCGCCTCAGTGTCCTAAAGTGCTGGGGTTACAGCGGTGAGTCACCATGCCCGGCCCTGAGGCACTTCAACATGTTTCTTGCAACACACTGAAAATCTGGGATTTTTTTTTCTCACTATATTGTTTTGCTACATAAATGTTTCTTTTTTTTTTTTTTTTGAGACGGAGTCTCGCTCTGTCACCCAGGCTGGAGTGCAGTGGCCGGATCTCAGCTCAATGCAAGCTCCGCCTCCCGGGTTCACGCCATTCTCCTGCCTCAGCCTCCCGAGTAGCTGGGACTATAGGCGCCCGCCACCTCGCCCGGCTAGTTTTTTGTATTTTTTAGTAGAGACGGGGTTTCACCGTGTTAGCCAGGATGGTCTCGATCTCCTGACCTCGTGATCCGCCCGTCTCAGCCTCCCAAAGCGCTGGGATTACACATAAATGTTTCTAATCTTCAGATCTGGACAACTTTTGCCAATATCCCTCCCAGTCTTGGTTTCTTCAGCAAGCCATTTTGTTGAAGTAGACGTCAAAGTATTTTGTCTAGACTATCAAGTCTTTCTGGAAATGCTAATGCATGCTCAAGTTTGAGAAGCCCTGATTTAGGCTAATGACTTAGATATACTCGCCCAAATAACATTCATTTTTTCTTTCCTCATAAAACATTTTCATGTATGAACAGAAAAGTAACTACAAAAAGGTAAGTATTTTCTTCTTAGCAATGTATCTCACTTAAAGATTTGAAACTGGGGCATGCAAACCAAACTCAGAAATTATCTTAATATCTTTTTGTTTTGTTTTGTTTTTTGAGACGGAGTGTCGCTCTGTCGCCCAGGCTGGAGTGCAGCGGCCGGATCTCAGCTCACTGCAAGCTCCGCCTCTCGGGTTCACGCCATTCTCCTGCCTCAGCCTCCCGAGTAGCTGGGACTACAGGCACCCGCCACCTCGCCCGGCTAGTTTTTTGTATTTTTTAGTAGAGATGGGGTTTCACCGTGTTAGCCAGGATGGTCTTGATCTTGTGACCTCGTGATCCACCCGTCTCGGCCTCCCAAAGTGCTGGGATTACAGGCTTGAGCCACCGCGCCCGGCTAATATCTGATTGTTAAAAGCTATTCCTTATATAGCAATTAAAATATTTATGGATAAAGCGGCTCAACAAGTGACTTAATTGCCCTGTTTCCTAAGGATTTTTGGAATATTTTGCTATTCTTAAAGAGATGACGCAACAGGCATTCTATAAACAATTACATTCACATACACACTAATCTTCACTACATTTCTGAGGGCAACAATTTACTAATTTAAAGGTGTTATCTATTATGGTACAGCCAGAATTAGATTTCTTGGGACCTTGTCAAGCAAAGTCATAGGGTCTTGGTTGAAAAGACAGGAGGCAAGCATTGATGAGAAACTGCAGGTAACCACCTAACTCACTAATCATGTCTTAGGGTTTATCATCTATAAAACTGGTATGATTTAACTGCCAGGCCTATCTCACAGGTTGCTGTGAAAATATAGGACTAAATAAAGGCACTCAGACAATTAATAATGTTACTAACAGTTTCTCAACTAACCTCCTTGCAGCTTCCACACCACTTCTCTGCTCTTCATATAGGACAACTCCCTAAGAGTGCCTCCGCTTCCTCTCCCTTTGTCTCTTCAAAGCACCGTAATCACACTTCACCCTCACCACTCTTAGCAATGACTCTTTGTCAAGTCACCAATGACCTTATTAAGCCAGTCTCAGTCCTCTTACTGAACCAACCACCAGCATTTGACTCAGTTAAATAAGTCACTCCTTGAAACACATCATTGACTTCCAGGGCACTATTCTTGGTTTTCCTACCTTTCAATCTCCTTGGATGATTCCTTTTAATCTCCTGACCTTCAAATGTTGGAAGTGGCCAAGAGCAGAGAGCACCTAATTTCCATCCACATTAGATTCCCTAGAAAGGAAATCTAGTAGCATGGCTTAAACTAGCCACCCGTACATTATATGCTTCCACATTTCTATCTCCTGTTTTAACTTCTGTGAATTCCTGACCTGTACATCAAACTGCTTAGGTAACCTTTCCGTCTGAATATTTAATAGACCTCAAACATACCTACACTCAAAATTAACACAGGCCTCCCTTATTCTCATTCTTAAGTCTATTATTCCTGTAGCTTTTCACATTTCGATATATGCTAACTCATTTTTCACACTGCTCAGATAAAACATTTTTGAGACAGGGTCTCACTCTTGTAGCCCAAGTTGAAGCCGAGTAGTGCTATCACGGCTCATTGCAGTCTTGTCCTCCCTAGCCCAAGCGATCCTTCCTGCCTCAGCCTCCTCAGTAGCTGGGACACAGGCACATGCCACCATGCCCAACTTTGCATTTTTTGTACAGATAGGGTCTCATTACATTGTCCAGGCTAGTCTCGAACTATTAGGATCAAGTGATTAGTCCAACTCGGCCTCTCAAAGTGCTGATTACAGGCGTGAGCCACCGCACCTAGCCAGACCATCTTGAGATCACCCTTAACTCCAGTTTTTCTTATATCCCATATCTAACCTATCAAACTCTGGTCTCTGTTACCATCTCCTCTTGTCTGTAATATTCCAAGTCTTCTAAACTGGTCTCACTGTACTTTGCACTCTACTTTCAACCCTGCAGCCAGAAAAATCCTTTTAAAAAAGTCTTACATGCTGGACGCTGTGGCTCATGCCTGTGATCCCAGCACTTTGGGAGGCCAAGGAAGGTGGATCAGGTCAGGAGTTCAAGACCAGCCTGGCCAAGATGCTGAAACCCCATCTCTACTAAAAATACAAAAAAATTAGCCAGGCACAATGGTAGGCACCTGTAATCCCAGCTACTCGGGAGGCTGAGGCAGGAGAATCACTTGAACCCGGGGAGCAGAGGTTGCAGTGAGCCAAGATCGCGCCACTGCACTCCAGCCTGGGCAAAAGAGACTCCATCTCAAAAAAAAAAAAAAAAAAAAAAAAGTCTAACGGAAGCCAGCTGCAGTGACTTATATCTGTAATCCCAGCACTCTGGGAGGCTGAGACAGGATCACGTGAAGCCAGGAGTTCAAGACCAGCCTGGCCAACGTGGCAAAACCCCATCTCTACTAGAACTACAAAACTCAGACAGGCACAGTGGTACACGCCTGTAATTCTAGCTACTCAGGAGGCTGATGCACGAGAATCACTTAATCCCAGGAGGCGGAGGTTGCAGTGAGCCCAAGACAGAGCAAAACTCTATTTACTTATTTTTTTTGAGACAGAGTGACAGAGCATACATCTCTATTTAAACCCCCATTTCATTCAGAATTAAAGAAAACAGCCAGGTACAGTGGCTCACAACTGTAATTCCACCACTTTGGGAGGCTGAGGTGGGAGAATCGCTTGATCCCAGGAGTTGGAGAACAGCCTAGGCAACATAGTGAGACCCTGTCTCTATAAACTAAAATTTTAAAAATAGCCGGGTATGGTGGCACACACCTGTGGTCCCAGGTACTCAGGAGGCTGAGGTGGAAGGATCATTTGAGTAAGGGAGTTCAAAGCTGCAGTGAGCTATGATCTGCACTCCAGCCTGGGCAACAGGGTGAGACCCTGTCAATCAATCAAAAGAAAATGTTCTTATCCACATTATCCAATATAATAGTTAGCTACGTGACAGAGACACTGAACATTTAGCTATTCATAGAATTTAAAATAGCCACATGTAACTAGTGGCCGCAACAGTGAACAGCTGTGGGTCTAACATGTAGTAGGTTCTCTAACATATATTTTTTTTTTTTTTGAGACGGAGTCTCTGTCACCCAGGCTGGAGGAGTGCAGTGGCACAAACTCAGCTCACTGCAACCTCCACTTTCCAGGTTCAAGTGATTCTCCTGTTTCAGCCCCCTGGGTAGCCAGGACTACAGGCGCCCGCCACCACGCCCAGCTAATTTTTTCTATTTTTAGTAGAGATGGGGTTTCACCATGTTGGCCAGGTTGGTCTCAAACTCCTGACCTCAGGTGATCCATCCGCCTCAGCCTCCCAAAGTGCTGGTATTACAGGCGTGAGCCACCGCACCTGGTCAACATTTTAAAGTGAGTATTAAATTGTTGTTAAAGTATATGGAGTGAAAAGGATCTATATCAATTTATCTTTAAACCCAGAGAAACCATGTCTCTCTACCTCCCACCAACAGTAGTTTCCAATGATTGGGTATTTGATCTTCTCATATTTCTCTAAGGTATAATTTAGCAAAAGTACAGACGGCTCTAGGACTAAGCAAAAGTAGAATAACGTTGAATGAGACATGAAGGTACTTACTAGATCTTAAAAACTGTAAGTTACAATGCTCTATTTTCTAAAAGAACTTAAGAAACCTAGAAATTATTGTTACTATTACTATTATTATTTTGGGGATGGAGTCTCACCCTGTCGCCCAGGCTGGAATGCAGTGGCGCCATCTCGGCTCACTGCAACCTCCACCTCCAGGGTTCAAATGATTCTCCTGCCTCAGACTCCCCAGTAGCTGGGATTACAGGCACACCCCACCACACCCGGCTAATTTTTGTATTCATCATGTTGGTCAGGTTGGTCTTGAACTCCTGACCTTGTGATACGCCCACCTCGGCCTCCAAAAGTGCTGGGATTACAGGCGTGAGCCACCGTGCCTGGTTGAAACCTAGAAATTATTAAATGAAATACAATTCTGGGCTGGCACAATGGCTCATGCCTATAATCCCAGGGCTGTGGGAGAACGAGGCAGGAAGATGGCTAGAACCCAGGAGTGTGAGGCTGCAGTGAGCCATAACCATGTCACTGCAATCCAGCCTGGGCCACAAAGCAAGGCCGTCTCTTAGAAGCAAAGAATACAACGCTGCCATTCCAATAAATAAGTTGCTGAAATTAGCCTGGCCCCAAGCTACAGATAATAACAAATCCTTCAATGGCAGTGAGTAATGACAGCTAATTAAGTATTAATCCTTATGGCCAGACCACCTACAAAATCTAAATCGCTGATCCTTGTTCTCTGCTCCAAGAACTCAGGAAATATTTTGTGATTTCAATCTGTTACCAATCTACTCTAGTAAGGTACTATCAAACTAAATACAAATATAAACTCTCTTTAAACATAAAAAGCCAGTTTTGTTTATTGTCTTGATGGCTATCGAACAATTTTTTTTTTTTAAGGCTGACTAGCTATCTTATCTTTTGCAGTAAGTAAATGAACAACAACAACAAAAAAATTACAGTTGTCAGAGAAATAAATGATTATTCTTTCAGCCAGGCACGGTGGCTCATGCCTGTAATCCCAGCACTCCGGGAGGCCCAGGTGGGTAGATCACCTGAGGTCAGGAGTTCAAGACCAGCCTGGTCAACATGGTGAAACCCCAGTCTGTACTAAAAATACAAAAAATTAGCCAGGCATGGTGGCGGGCGCCTGTAGTCCCAGCTACTCGGGAGGCTGAGGCAGAAGAATCACTTTAACTGGGGAGGCGGAGGTTGCAGTGAGCCGAGATTGCATCACTGCACTCCAGCCTGGGCGACAAGACTGAAACTCAAAAAAATAAAAAAGATTATTCTTTCAAGTTGTTTCCAAATCACAAGCGGACAATAAATACAGAAGAAAAATCCTTACCTGCATGCAATGAATAGCTAAGCCAGGTCCTGTATACAATTTCTTGTGACATATATGGCATTTAAAATGCTTTGCTTTTTGGTGCTGTATAAGGATCTTCTCATCATCAAAATCTCTATTACAATACCTGATCAATACTGTTAAGGCACAAAAACAGCATAATGATGACACTGCCTGTAATAAAAACACATGGATAACACTACAATATAGGAACAGCTAAAACCAAAATAGTACTGTACAGAAACCCTGCTTTTGATATTTATTACACAATTAAGGACTGCACATGCCATGTAATTTCAATATTTTCAATTTCCTAGAAGCCTATCTCTTTTCACTACCTCAAAAAACACATCAGTCATCAGCAATATACTTTGTCAAATTCCTATGTTCAACAGAGATGTCTGTGAAACTTTTGTTACAAATATTTCAACATTTACAAATGCACACTGAGGACAGGAAGGAGTTCAGTTAAGAAATCCCCAAGGTTCTGTCTAGACAATTACTTCACTAGATACGTAGACGATAGCCATAACTGGATTAGGAATTTAGCAATATTTAGAATCTAAGATTACATGGTGAACAATAATCACATAATTTCGAATGAACAATCCACAAAACTGTTTCCAATTCCGAATGAATTTGTTGCCAAGCAATGTATTTAAATTCACATATCAATAAAATCAATAAAACAGAATTCTTACCTCACTACTCAGATTTTCCTAAAATCACATTACAGAATTCGTAACCGTATTTAAGCTATTTTTAAAGCTGTTACATAAATAAATGCAGTACTGTAACAAGCCGCCTTTACGTACAAAACTAAACAAAATCAATTTTAATGTAAAGAATATTAACGATTCCGGAAAAAGTATTAAATAATACCACACTGTAGTAAGAGTTTTCCTTTCTAATAAGATAGTCATTTTTTAGTCCTACAAAGTTGGGTAACAGAAACTCCACCCTGTGAGAACGCTTCCTGCAGATTAAGGCGCCCCTGGGTGAGACACGGAAGCTAGTTCTCCTCCAGCCCCAAGAAGAAAAAAATAAAAAAGGTTCGAAACCAGGGTTGACTAACTTTGGCCTTTACTAAACCGCCAATTCGAAAAAACACAAAGCACCCATAAAGTACATAAAAACAGAAAAAGTGGGTGACAGACTGGGAAGCTCTTCCCCAACCCTCCATGGAATTAATAAGCCTATCGCACTCGAAGAAAAGTCCCTTTGTTGAATCGTCACCAAAACAACGGAATGTGGCTGAATAGTCCCCAGGGGACACTGTCCTTGGCGGAGGGGTCCAGGCCGCCTCCCAGAGTCCAAAATTCGCACCAAACAAGATCCACCTGAGTCAGTCACACGATCCACAACTGCAAGATCCTCTCGACCTCGGAATACCATTTTCCTAGAAGCCTTCCCAAGTCCAATCCCAGCCACCAGGCCACCCACGCCGACGCTTAAATACAAACGCTCCACGCCATAGGCCAAACCCAGGCCTCCCAGTCCCAGGCCCCACCAACCGGCACCCCAGCGCGACCTCGACTTCAAACCGACAAAGGATACCAGCACCACGGCTTCAGCTGCTTCTTCTTCTTGCGACCCATAACTGTGTTCTACCGACAAAGTAAAAGGGAGGAGAAAAGAAGCAGGAGAAACGAGGCGAAAATCCCTCACTTTCCCGACCCAACGGCTACGACCGCGTCCCACAGGAAGCAGACACAAAATGGCCGACGGCCTCGTTCGCCGCTCCGCCTCCCGTCAGGCACTGCGGCAGGAGGCGGAGCCAGGAAGGGAGGGTCACAGGACGCAGACCTCCGCCCTGAGTGGGTGGGACTAAGAGGCGCGAAGAGGTGGCTGACATCTTGTCCGTTTGAGAGTCTTTCGCTTTCGCTGTCAGTGCTTGCAGAGCGCTTCGGATTTCTTTTGTAAAGGAGCCAGAGACCTAGGTACGCCAAGGCACATGCAAATGGAAAACAGAAAACGAAAAAACGGGAAAGACTGCCAGTGCAGTTAGGGCCGATCACAAATAGAGATAGAGACAGCGCCCAATTTTAATTTTGTTTTAACAGTAAATGTTGATTATGTGCCTATTAAATGCTAAACCAAAGAAGTTAGTCTCTGCTTTGTAACTCGCAGATTGGTGACAGACGAGTACACAACGCAGAGCTCTCAGTGCGGCGTTGGGGGAAATGTGAAGTGCTGTAGGACCTCAGAGAGCGGGAGTCCTAAGGCGGCCGTAGTGGTAGTGATCATTGGGTTGTCAAGAAAGGTTTTGTTTTTCTTTGTTTTGTTTTATTTTTCTAAGACGAAGTCTCGCTTTGTCGCCTAGGCTGGAGTGCAGCTGCGCGATCTCTACTCACTGCACCCTCTGTCTCCCGGGTTCAAGCGATTCTCCTACCTCAGCCTCCGGGACTGCAGGCCCGCGCCACCAAGCCCGGCTAATTTTTGTATTTTTAGTAGAAATGGGGTTTCACCGTGTTAGCTAGGCTGGTTTCGAACTCCTGGGCTTAAGTGATCCGCCCGCCTCGTCCTCCCGAAGTGCTGGACGGCAGGCTTGAGCCGCTGCACCCGACACAAGAAAGGTTTCTTGAAGAGTCAAAGGGAGCAAGCAAGGTGAAGGAAAGGGTATCTCAGTAAGAGAGCAAAGAGTTGAAGTCTTTGAGGCTGGGCACGTGAAAACACTAGTCGTGGTAAGACTGGAGCTGATAGCCGGGCGCGGTGGCTCACGCCTGTAATCCCAGCACTATAGGCCGAGGCCGGGGCCGAGGCCGAGGCCAAGCCTGGCGGATCACTTGAGGTCAGGAGTTCGAGACCAGCCTGGCCAACATGGTGAAACCCTGTCTACTAAAAATACAAAAATTAGCCAGCCGTAGTGGCAGGCGCCTGTAACCTCGGCTACTCTGGAGAATGAGGCAGGAGAATCACTTGAACCTGGGAGGTGAAGCTTGCAGTGAGCCGAGATCTCGGCATTGCACTCCAGCCTGGGTGACAGAGCGAGACTCCATCTCAAAAAAAAAAAAAAAAAAAATACTGGAGCTGTCAGTGAAGGTGCTGGTCACAAGAGATAATCCTAGGGAGGCTAGCAAAGGCGGATTCTGGCAAACCCTAGAAACATTGTCAGAAGTTGGATTTCAGGCTGAAGTCTCTGAGAAGGCACAGAGGAGTTCTTTTTTTTTTTTTTTTTTTTTGAGACTGAGTCTCACTCTGTCGCCCAGGCTGGAGTGCTGTGGCCGGATCTCAGCTCACTGAAAGCTCTGCCTCCCGGGTTGCCGCCATTCTCCTGCCTCAGCCTCCCGTGTAGCTGGGACTACAGGCGCCCGCCACCTCACCCGGCTTATTTTTTTTATATTTTTAGTAGAGACAGGGTTTCACCGTGTTAGCTAGGATGGTCTCGATCTCCTGACCTCGTGATCCGCCCGTCTCGGCCTCCCAAAGTGCTGAGATTACAGGCTTGAGCCACCGCTCCCGGCCTGGCACAGAAGAGTTCTAAGAGGGCAACTGGAGGTGGTTAAAAGCCCAGTGCTTGGGTTCATAGTCCACCAGTGCCACTGCCTAGCTGCCTGACTTTGGGCAAGGCACTTAAACTTCATCTGGCTGCACTCAGAACAGAGCTTGGCATATAGTAATAACTAGTGATGTAAATTATGTGTTACTATTAAAAGCAGAAAATAATAGCAGACATCCATGGAGCACCTACCGTGTGCCAAGCATTGTAGTAAGTTTTAACATTATTTATCTCAGCCTCTGGGGTAGGAGCCATTATTCAACTTGTTAACTTGTTAATAGAGATGAGATAAAAGAGACTTAAGAGAGCTGGAATAATTTGCCCGAAAGCACAAAGTAAGTGTGGAGCTGAATTGAATTTTAAAGGATAAGTTTAGGCTGGGCGCAGTGGCTCACGCCTGTAATCCCAGCACTCTGGGTGGCTGAGGTGGGTGGATCACCTGAGGTCAGGAGTTCGAGACCAGCCTGGCCAGCATGGTGAAACCCAGTCTTTACTAAAAATACCAAAAAAAAAAAAAAAAAAAAAAAAAAGTAGCCAGGCATGGTGGGACACGCCTGTAACCCCAGCTACTCGGGAGGCTGAGGCAGGAGAATCACTTGAACCTGGGAGGCAGAGGCTGCAGTGAGCCAAGATTATACCACTGCACTCCAGCCTGGGCGATAGAGGGAGACTGTCTCAAAAAAAAAAAAAAAAAAAAGGAAGTTCAGGCTGGGTGCAGTTGCTCAAGCCTGTAATCCCAGTGCTTTGGGAGACCGAGGCAGGAGGGTGGCTTGAGGCCAGGAGTGTGAGATCAGCCTGGGTACCATAGTGAGACCATCTCTATCAAAAAATGAATTAAAAAATGAACAACTTCAAAACCATATTGCAATGTGCTGAATATTCCCCCAACTGCTTGAAACGTAATCACCAATGTGATAGCATTAAGAGGTGGGACCTTTAGCAGGTGATTAAATCGTGAGTAAATGGGTGGATTAGTGAGTTTATTAAAGTGCTGGAAGGAACTAAACTTTCTACTCTCTCCTGCCTTCCACCAAATGAGGATGCAGCAAGAATGCCCTCATCAGACACTGAGCACTAATACCTTGATCTTGGATTTCCAAATTTCCAGACCATAAGAAAATAAAATTCAGTGGGCGTAGTGGTTTCCGCCTGTAATCCCAACACTGGGAGGCTGAGATGGGTGGATCACCTGAGGTCAGGAGTTCGAGACCAGCCTGGCCAACATGATGAAACCCTGTCTCTACTGAAAGTACAAAAAAAATTAGCTGGGCATGGTGGCGGGCGCCTGTAATCCCAGCTACTCGGGAGACTGAGGCAGGAGAATCGCTTGAACCCAGGAGGCGGAGGTTGTAGTGAGCCAAGATCGCGCCATTGCACTCCAGCCTGGGCAATAAGACCAAAACTCCATCTCAGGGTAAAAAAAAGAAAAAGAAAAGAAATAAAATGCTGGCCAGGTGTGGTGGCTCATGCCTGTAATCCCAGCACTTTGGAAGGCTGAGGTGGGTGGATCACCTGAGATCAAGAGTTTGAGACCAGCCTTGCCAACATGGCAAAATCCCATCTCTACTAAAAATACAAAAATTAGCTGGGCATTGTGGTGGGCACCTGTAACCCCAGCTACTCAGGAGGCTGAGGCAGGAGAACCCAGGCTGAGGCTTGAACCTTGCAGGTGGAGGTTGCAGTAAGCTGAGATTGCACGACTATACTCCAGCCTTGGCGACATAGTGAGACTCCATCTCAAAAAAAAAAAAAAAAGAAAAGAAATACAATTCTGTTACTCATAAATTCCCCAGTCTGTAGTGTATTGTTATAGCACCACAAACAGATTAAAACACTTTTACTATGAAAGCAATAAAATATTGCTGTTAGTTGGGAGGCTTAGGCGGGCGGATCACTTAAGGTCAAGAGAGAGACCATCCTGGCCAACATGGTGAAACCCTGTCTCTGCTAAAAATACAAAAATTGGCTGGGCGAGGTGGCGTGTGCCTGTAGTCCCAGCTACTTGGGAGGCTGAGGCAGGAGAATCACTTGAACCCAGGAGGCAGAGGTTGCAGTGAGCCAAGATTGCGCCACTGCACTCCAGCCTGGCGACAGACAGAGACTCTGTCTCAAAAAAAAAAAAAAAAAAAAATGCTGTTAGAAATTAAAGAAGGCCTGGTGGGCTAGATCATTCCCAGCACTTTGGGAGGCTGAGGTGGGAGAATCACTTGAAGCCAAAAGTTTAAGGCAAGCCTGGGCAACAAAGCAATATCCTATTCTCTATGAAAATAAAAATTAGCTGGGTTTCGGTGGCCCAGAATGGTAGAGTGCAGTGATGCAATCGTAGCACACTGCAGCCTCGATCTTCTGGGCTCAATGGATCCTCACACCTCAGCCCACCAAGTAGCAGGGACTACAGGGCCATGCCACCATGCCTTGCTAATTTTTTTATTTTTTGTCGAGATAAGGTCTTGCTTTGTTGTCCAGGCTGGTCTTGAACTCCTGGGCTCAAGTGATCCTTCTGTCTTAGCTTCTCAAAGTGTTGAGATTACAGGCACGAGCTACCATGCTGTGCCTCTCGTTGTAGTGGGTTTATAGATAAGCAAGGGGAGGAGGCTAGAATGATCCATGTGGCCATGGATTAGGGCTGGAGACACCAGTATGAACTCATGTTTATTTTAAAATAGATACACAGAGAAATATTTATGGATATGGGTATATACTCAAGTTAGTATAGATACATGTATTTCCTTGTCTTATCAGCTGAGAGGGCCTAGAAGCAATAATGCCCCATAGCAAGCATACTTTGCCCCCGGGTCTTGGTTTATAATACCATTCTCCAGTAACCTGAGGTTCTTGGAGAAATGACTGATTTGGGCCGGTCACGGTCATGGCTTATGCCTATAATCCCAGCACTTTGGGAGGCCGAGGAGGGCGGATCACGAGGTCAGGAGTTCGAGACCAGCCTGACCAACATGGGGATTCTTCTGCCTCAGACTCCCGAGTATCTGGGACTACAGGTGTGTGCCACCACGCCTGGATAATTTTTATATTTTTTAGTAGAGACAGAGTTTCACCAGGTTTGCCAGGCTGGTCTTGAACTCGTGACCTCAGGTGATCCACCTGCCTCAGCCTCCCAAAGTGCTGGGATTACAGGTGTGAGCCACTGCACCCGGCTGGGGTAATTCTTTTCAACCTAGAATTCAATGTCCAATCATATCAGTCTAAAATTCTATTTCTTTCTTCCCCCCTCCCCCGACAAGACGTAGTCTCGCTCTGTTGCCCAGGCTGGAGAG